CTCCTTTGAAGTAGCGTCTGTGCCGATATTCCAAAACCAGAGCACGATTCACCTTCTCCGTCTTTTACTAAAACCCAAAAGGATTACATAAAATCATAAATTACGGTCTCTGCTTGAAACTGAGCAGCTGATTCCAACTTGTTATAGCTAGCCTGCTTGGTTAGACGTGGTGCTGGAGAAAACTCCTGAGAGCCAGGAAAATATATGCGTTGTGGGGGCTCCTGAGTGTTTTTCTGAGCTCGGTAGCTTTCTTGCAGCCATTTCATTACTCGAGTAAGTAACATCTTCAGTGCTAGAAGGGAGTGGGGGTTGAGGAGAGGAGGAGGAGGATTGTGGGGTCCTTGGCACTCTCTGAGATTAGTTGTTTTCTTGCAGATGTTTCATTGAACAAACTAGGTAACATCTTCAGTGGTAGAAGGGAGTGGGATTTGAGGAAAGGAGGAGGAGGAGGAGAAGAGAAGGACTGTACGGTCCTTGGTGCTTTCTGAGCTTGGTTGTTTATTTACCCAGCTAAGTAACATTATCATCATCAGTGATAGAAGTGAGGGGGTTGAGGAAAGGAGGAGGAGGAGGAGAAGGAGAAGAAGAAGAAGGAGAAGAAGAAGGAGGAGGAGGAGGAGGAGGAGGAGGAGGAGGAGGAGGAGGAAGAGAAGGACTGTACGGTCCTTGGTGCTTTCTGAGCTTGGTTGTTTACTTACCCAACTAAGTAACATCATCATGATCAGTGCTAGAAGGGAGTGGGGGTTGAGGAGAGGAGGAGGAGGAGGAGGAGGAGGAGGAGGAGGAGGAGGAGGAGAAGGAGAAGGAGAAGGAGGAGGAGGAGGAGGAGGAGGAGGAGGAGGAGGAGGAGGAGGAGAGAGGAGAAGGAGAAGGAGAGGAGGAGGAGGAGGAGGAGGAGGAGGAGGAGGAGGAGGAGGAGGAGGAGGAGGAGAAGAGAAGGACTGTACGGTCCTTGGTGCTTTCTGAGCTTGGTTGTTTATTTACCCAGCTAAGTAACATTATCATCATCAGTGATAGAAGTGAGGGGGTTGAGGAAAGGAGGAGGAGGAGGAGAAGGAGAAGGAGAAGAAGAAGGAGGAGGAGGTGGAGGAGGAGGAGGAGGAGGAGGACTGTACGGTCCTTGGTGCTTTCTGAGCTTGGTTGTTTATTTACCCAACTAAGTAACATCATTGTCAGTGCTAGAAGGAGGAGAAGAGGAGGGGAGGGGAGGAGGAGGAGGAGGAGGAGGGGGAGAGGAGGGGAGCAGGAGGAGGAAGAGGGGAGGGGAGGAGGGGAGAAGGAGGAGGAAGGAGGGGAAGGGGAGGGGAGAGGAGGAGGAGAAGCGGGAGGAGGAGGGGAGGAGGAGGGGAGGAGGAGGAAAAGGGGAGGGGAGGAGGAAGGGGAGGAGGAGAGGGGGAGGAAGAGGAAGAGGAGGAGGAGGAGGAGGAGGAGGAGGAGGAGGAGGAGGAGGAGGAGGAGGAGAAGGACTGTATGGTCCTTGATGCTTTCTGAGCTTGGTTTTTTACTTACCCAACTAAGCAACATCATCATCAGTGCTAGAAGGAGGAGGAGAGGAGGGGAGGAGTAGGGGAGGCGGAGAGGAGCTGGAGGGGGGAGGAGAGGAGGGGAGGAGGAGGAGGAAGAAGGGAGGGGAGCAGGAGGGGAGGAGGAGGAAGAGGAGGAGGAGGAAGAAGGAAGGATGGTAGGAGGAGGAGTGGGGTGGTAGTGATCTATGGGGTCCCTCTGAGTTGGCTTCTTTTCTTGCAGATGTCTCATGACCCAACTATGTAACAGCATCAGTGGAAGAAGAAGGAAGTGGGGCTTGCTCCCGTTTATATATATATAAGTGGCTTGCCCTGTCATTCCCTCCTAATACTGATAACGTTACCTCATGAAACATCTGTTGTGAAGCTTCACCTAGTGACTTTGCTTGTCGAAAGGTCGCAAAAGGGGGAATCTCGAGACCTTGGGACACACCAACAGTCATGAGTATGAGTCAGTTGCCCAGCATCTGAATTTTGATCGCATGGTCATGGGGATGCTGCAAAGGTCATAAGCGTGAAAAGCGGTCATCAGTCCCTTTTTTCAGTGCAGCTGTGACTTTGGATGGTCCCTAAATGAACTGGCGTAAGTCAAGGATCACTGTCCACCTATTTGCAATCCAGCTGACCTGCCACTCCTTCCATACATGAGAGGAAAAATAGGTAACAGGAACAAACCACCGTGAAGTTAAAGTTTGAAGCACTCTGTTAACAGTCTGCTGTTGTAATTTATTTGTAGAAAGTCTACTACACCGTTTCTGGTTTACTAGAATTCACCCTGATCATTATCGCTGAGTCCAGACTCAAATCCCTTTCTTCGGCTCTTAATAATAAAACCTTTCCTTAGGTTTTTAATCGGGAACTTTCTCAGCAATTGCAACTCATTTCCAACCCTTTTCTTTCCTGTGTTTTATTTTTTAAAATCTTTTTTAAGATGCACCACGGCAAGGTTGCTGCTTTGTGTCTAGAAAGTGGAGCCTTCTATCCTTCCACGCCTCAGAGTTTCCATGGATTTACAGAAGAGAAGCATCTGCTGACTGGGTGGATTTGAGCAGCGTCAGAGTGACGTAGCAGGGTAGGAAATTGAGATGCGAGGCAGAAAAGCCCACGAGAGGCATCCAGGCGTAACAATTTATGGATAAGCCAAGGCAGGGCACAAGGGGATGGTCACTAAAAGAAGAGTGTTCTCGCAACGGTTATTCCAGCCAGACCTCACTGCAAAGACACTGGAGACTCTGGAAAGCAGACAGAGAACAGCAATGTCAACTTCATATAAAGAAAACTTACATAAAAGGTTTTATAGATGGCATTTACCACCAGCACGATGAGCAAAAACGTTTAAAAATATGTCAGATGGATGCTGGAAATGTACGCACAACTCAGGCACGTACTGTACTATCACATCTGGTGGACATGTGGCAAAGCCAAGGCTTATTGGAAAAAGATACGTGCGTGGTGAGAAAAAAATATTAGGTGAACAGGTTGGTTTTAAACCTGAACTTTTCTGATTCGGTATAATGCCTGAAAAGGTTAATAAGCAAAGTCTACATTTGATTTTACACGTCACTACAGCAGCGAGAATAATCTTTGCGCAATATTGGAAGAATGAAGGACTGCCATCGGAGGAAGAAATAATCAGAAAAATATTGGAATGCGCAGAGATGGACAGATTAACTATGAGATTGAAAGATAAAGAAGACACAGATGACTACCAGACTTGGGACTTATTTTATTGTTGGTTAGAGGAAAGAATGAAGGATTAGGAATCAAATATGGATTCGCATAGCTGATCCCAGACAGCTCGTTGGTTGAAAAATTAACATATGTATGTAAAAGAAAATCAACAAAATCTTTATTTAAAAAAAAAGAACAGCAACAAAGATGATTAAAGGATTGGAGGCTAAAACATATGATGAACTGATGATGAACTGAACAATGAGCAGGGAATTGAGTATATCTAGTTTAATGGACAATAAGGATTAGGAACAGGGGGATAACATTAAGATTACGTGAAGTATTAGTGCTGCTTTACAATGTCTTGGTAAATGCTGTTTTACAATGTCTTTGTAAGACCACACTTGGAATCCTGCATCCAGTTTGGTCACCAAATATAGAAAAGATGTTGAGACTCTAGAAAGAGGGCAGAGAAGAGCAACAAAGATGATTAGAGGACTGGAGGCTAAAGCATATGAAGAATGATTGCAGGAACTGGGGATGTCAAGTCGAATTCTGGTCACCACGATATAAAAAAAGTTTTGGAGACTCTAGAACAGTGGTTCTCAACCTTTTTAATGCCGCGACCCCCAACTGGTCGTAAGTCGAGGACTACTCAACTGGTCGTAAGTCGAGGACTACTCAACTGGGGCAACACCGTTTGCAGAATGGGACTTTTGGCGGGCTCAGCAGGGCAGAGACAGCCTGGACAATTCTTATTGGCTTTTGAAAGCCAATAGAATTAGACTCTATTCAAGAGAGTCTATTCTATTGGCTTTCAAAAGCCAATAGAATAAAAGGGAGTAGCACAGCTAAGGAAAAAGGGGAAAAAATGGCGGACTGCGTTGTTTGGCGACCCCCGTGAAATGGTCATTCGACCCCAAATGGGGTCCCGACCCACAGGGGGAGAACCACTGCTCTAGAAAGAGTGCTGAAAAGAGCAACAGATATGATTAAGGGGCTGGAGGTTAAAACATATAAAGGACCTTTGCAGGAATTGTGGATGTCTAGTCTAATGAAGAGAAGGATGAGGGGGGACAGGATAGCAACATTCCAGTATCTCAGGGGCTGCCCCAAAGAAGAGGGAGTCAAGCTATTCTCCAAAGCACTTGAGAGGAGGACAAAAAGCAACAGATGGAAACTGATCAAGGAGAGAAGCAACCTAGAACTAAGGAGAAATTTCCCAACAGTGAAAACATTTAATTAGTGGAACGGCTTTCATTCAGAAGTTGTGGGTGCTCCATCACTGGAGAATTTTAAAAAGAGACCGGACAGCTATTTTTTTGGATAGTATAGAGCAGGGGTAGGCAACCTTGGCTCTTTTATGACTCGTGGACTTCAACTCCCAGAATTCCCGAGCCAGCCATGTTGAGGGGAAAGGGAGAGGTTTCCATGCTGAGCTATTCTGGCTCAGGAATTCTGGGAGTTGAAGTCCACGAGTCACAAAAGAGCCAAGGTTGCCTACCCTTGGTATAGGGTTTCCTGCTGGAACAGGAAGTTGGACTAGAAGACCTCCCGGCCCCCTGAGGGAAACCCCAATGCTGATGCAGCCCTCAATGAAATTGAGTTTGACACCCCTGCTCTATATGCCATTTATGCAGGATCTTTATTTATTTATTTAGCCATACTATTCTTCCCTCAAATGCAACCCAACCCAAAACACATCCGACTTCATGTCAAATCCGTTTCCTGTTGTGACTTCCCTTTTCGAGGAGTTGGCAAACTTGCAGCCAGACATTACGCAGACGTTGCACAGAAGCAGCTGACTGTGTGGGTGATCATCCACAGCGGTTTATACCACAGTCAGGGAGACCTGAGACTTGTTGCCCTTTTAACCAAACCGGCATCTCCAATGGCTTGGGGTGTCTTCCTTTCCAGGCTGTTTTTCGTACTGCTTTCCAGCTTGCCTTCAGCAACAGACGGAGGTGAGTGATCAGGCTGAAAGGCTTTAGACAGAAGTGACTGATACAGTGAATTAAAGAATAACAGAATAACAAGAGTTCTGTTGTTGAGGAGGAGAGCCATACTGTTCCAGACAAGCAGTCTTTTCTTAAGTTTCCAGTGATGGAGCACCCGCAACATCTGAAGCAAGCCGTTCCACTGGTTAATTGCTCTAACTGTCAGGAAGTTTCTCCTTAGTTCTAGGTTGCTTCTCTCCTTGGTGAATTTCCATCTGTTGCTTCTTGTCCTGCTTTCTGGTGCTTTGGAAAATAGTTTGACCCCGTCTTCTTTGTGGCAGACTCTCAAATATTAGAACACTGCTATCATGTCTTCTTCTTCTTCTTCTTCTTCTTCTTCTTCTTCTTCTTCTTTTCTTCTTCTTCTTCTTCTTCTTCTTCTTCTTCTTCTTCTTCTTCTTCTTCTTCTTCTTCTTCTTCTTCTTCTTCTTCTTCTTCTTCTTCTTCTTCTTCTTCTTCTTCTGCCATATCCGTTATCGGACGTTGGCGATCACGTTGGCGATCCTGTTTTTATCAGCTGAAGTGCTGATAAAAGTGCTGCTGAGTAGGTCAATATTGGAAGAAGGATACTCTGCCTTCTTTAGAAGAATGGGTATTTAAGGTTTCTAATTTAGCAGAAATGGCTAAAATTTCTGCTTATTTAAAGGACCATTCACAAGAGAGATATTTTAACGTATGGAGAAGATGGATAGAATATGTTCAGAAGAAATATGGAACTACAAAGTTTCACTTATTCTATGAGTAATGATTTTGTTTATAAACTTATGATGTTAAAGTTTGAAGAGAATTAAGGGTTTTTATGATTTTGTTCATTGTATAATTAGTAAACTTAAATAGATTATGTTTAATATGTTTGCATAATCCTGCATTTTGCTCTGGGAAGTCGGGGGGGAGGGGAGTGGGGGGAGGGGTGGGGGGGTGGGGGTGGGGGGTGGATGGGTTGAAGTTTAAGTAGTTCAGATAAAGTAGAAATAGTCTTATTGTATATAATATTAATGTTTTAATTTTGAGAGAGGAACTGCTCGGGCATTTCCCCTGGACCGCATCAAGAGGGAGGAGAAGAAGATGAGAAGTAAGTAGGAAGGTTGAGGTGAAGGAGGAGAGGGGGTGAGTGAAGAAAAAGAGGGAAGAAGTAAGTTGGTTTGAGGTGGGATGCGGTTTGGGGGGAAATGGGCGGGCAAGACCGAATGTGGTGTGTATCAATTTGTTTTATTTTTTATCTGAAGTATTTGTAAGATTGCTTGTTGTTGTTGTTAATTGCGAAGTCGTGTCCGACCCATCGCGACTCCATGGACAATGTTCCTCCAGGTCTTCCTGTCCTCTACCATCTTCTGGAGTCCATTTAAGTTCACACCTCCTGCTTCAGTGACTCCATCCAGCTATCTCATTCTCTGTCGTCCCCTTCTTCTATTGCCCTCAATCTTTCCCAGCATTAGGCCCTTCTCCAGTGAGTCCTTCCTTCTCATTAGGTGTCCAAAGTATTTGAGTTTCCACTTCAGGATCTGGCCTTCTAAAGATCAGTCGGGGTTGATCTCTTCTAGGACTGACTGGTTTGAACGCCTTGCAGTCCAAGGGACTCGCAGGAGTCTTCTCCAGCACCATAGTTCAAAGGCCTCAATTCTTTGGCGCTCAGCCTTTCTTATGGTCCAACTTTCACAGCCATACATTGCAACTGGAAAACCATGGCCTGGACTATACGCACTTTTGTTGGCAGGGTGATGTCTCTGCTTTTTTAGTATGCTGTCTAGATTTGCCATAGCTTTCCTCCCCAGGAGCAGATTGCTATGTATTGTAAAATTGAAAATAAATTTTTTACAAAAAAAAAAAAAAGGGCTGCTGAGTTTTGTCCAAACCAGTCCCTTAGATTTTGAAGCCATGATGTTCTTCTTCTGCCTGGACTTCGTTTGCCTTCAGTCTTTCCCTGGAGGATTAAATGGAGTATGCCATATTTTTCTGGGTGTCGCATCACATATCCGAAATATTCTAATTTTTGTTTTTAATTGTTTTGATGATTTCCCTTGGCTTTCCCAGGCGGCTTATCACCTCCTCATTTCCGATCTTGTCAACCCAGCTTCTACGTAACAGCCGCCTGTAAATCCCCATTTCAAATGCTTCTAGTCTCTTCAGGTGGCCTTCTGTCAGAGACCAACTATCTACTCCATAGAGCAGGATAGAAAAAATATAACATCTGACAAGCCCGATTTTCAATCTTAGGCTTATGTCGTGACTGCAGAAGACCTTTTCCATTTTGAAGAATGCTGTTCCAGCTTTATCTATCCTTGTCTTTACCTCAGTGGTCATGTCCCAGCGGTCATGTAAATTAGAACCGAGATGTGTGCTCCTTTCAACTTTTTCTAGTGGTATTCCTTCTGAATTTATTGGTGGTAAATTAACGGGTTCTTTGCTGACGACCATGATCTTGGTTTTTGAGGTGTTAAGCTTCAAGCCGTATTTTTCCAGATATTTCTGTGACTCTTGATGAGGAGCTGAAGGTCTTCATGCTTACTGGCAAGCAGAACTGTATTTTTTTTTTTTTTTTTGGCTAGGCTAGACATTCCCAATTCCTGCAATTGTTCTTCATATGTTTTAGCCTCCAGCCCCACTACTCATCTTTGTTGCTCTTCTCTGTGCTCTTTTCGGGCTTAACTGTAAAAACTTGGACTCAACGTTTCTGCTAATTAGTCATGACCTCTGCTAGTATGTTCCATTGGATTTGCTTCTCTCTGTTTTTGCAATTCTTTTAAAAAATAGGAACCACATGGATGGCTACTGCTCAGCCTGTTTGGAGGGAACTTGGGGCTAAAGACTTGATCTGCTCCACACACACACACACACAAAAAAAGTGATTCTCCATGGTGATTCTTCCTCTTACTTTTCTTTTTCCACTTCTCTTTTTTTTTTGGGTGGGGGAGGAATTTATAGAAATCACTCACAATTCATAGGAATCCCTCAGTATCATAATCAAAGTAACCATCTCACTTTCCGTATCTAATTATCTTGGAAGGGAGAAGGGGTTGTTGAAAGAAAAGTCTTTATCATGGTTCCGTCCAAGCCGGGGATAAACAACATGGCGACTGCTTTAGAAAGAAGTTTGTAGTTTATTGAAAAGGAGAACCAGACAGGAAGGTGGCTCTGGCAGAAAAAAAAGTGAACACATGTAGGGAGTGGGTTTTTATACCCTCTGGAGCCTTTTGTTTGGAGCTGCTTCCTGTTCCTGTTTGAGGCTATTTCCTGTGTCATGTATTTTGAGCTGAGTCTGGGTTTGCCCTTTGGCATCTGTGGGTTAATCCTATTATGTCCCAAAAGTCATGTCCTGCTTCCCTGGGGCTGGGGCTAATGATTCTTAGAGTTTGGGTGAGGTATGCAGATTTTGGGTCTTTGTCTTCTTAATGTTCCAGTTGCAACCTTTGCATCTGCATTTGTATAGAACTGGTTTCTGCTTGGGACAGAGAGACTTGGGGGACGGGGTTGGTTTCTGCTTTTAAAATCCTTTTGGGAAATATATTCTGCCCTTTTAATAATAATAATAATAACAATAATAATAATAATAACAACAACAACAACAACAACAACAACAACTCTGGAACTTCAGAATTCAAACAGACAAGCACCTCTAACATAACACTCCGGACTTAACAATTGTCGATAAGAAAGACAAAAAAGTCTGGATAGTGGACGTGGCAGTGCCTGGAGACAGCAGAATAGACGAGAAAGAATTGGAGAAGATAACAAAATACAAAGACCTACAAACAGAAATAGAAAGACTGTGGCAAAAGCAAGCAAAGGTAGTACCAATAGTCATAGGCGCCTTGGGTGCAATCCCAAAACAACTGGAGCACCACTTGAACACCATCATTGGCATTGACAAATTCGCTATTAGTCAATTGCAAAAGGCGGCCTTACTAGGAATGCTTCCATCTTGCGACGATATCTGTAATATTATCAAACATCCACATCTGCCTATCCCAGGTCCTGGGTAAGGACTCGATAGGTAGACAAAATGCCAAATCCAGTCTGAACATCTGGCTGACTGTGCGATGATCCATAATAATAATAATATTGGAAGGGACCTTGCAGGTCATCTAGTCCAACCCCCTGCTCAGGCAGGAAAACCCTATACCATTTCAGACAAATGGCTGTCTAATCTCTTCTTAAAAACCTCCAGTGTTGGGAGCATTCACAGCTTCTGGAGGCAGGTTGTTTCACTGATAGATTGTCCTCACTCTCAGAAAATATCTCCTTGGTCCTAGGTTGCTTCTCTTCTTGGTTAATTTCCATCCGTTGCTTCTTGTCCTGCCTACATCTTTGTTGTTTTTCTCTGCACACTTCCAGTAATTGAGGGGCTTTCATCAAGAAGACTGACTTATTCTCTAAGGCCCCGGAGAGCAAGGCTAGAAGTAAGCTTGTCAAAGAGACATGCAACCTAGACCAGGAGTAGGCAACCTTGGCTCTTTTATGACTCGTGGACTTCAACTCCCAGAATTCCTGAGCCAGCATGGGGGAACTATGGTCCCCTCATGACTCGTGGACTTCAACTCCCAGAATTCCTGAGCCAGCCTGGCTCAGCTTGGAAACCTCTCCCTTTCCCCTCAGCATGGCTGGCTCAGGAATTCTGGGAGTTGAAGTCCATGAGTCATAAAAGAGCCAAGGTTGCCTACCCCTGATCTAGACGTAAGGAGAAATTTTCTGAGAGAAAACAATTAATCAATGCACTAGCTTGCTTCCTGGAATTGCGGGTAGTCCATCCCTGGAGGTCTTCAAAGAAAGATTGGGAAACTATTTGACTGCGATGGCATAAAGTCTTCTACCTTGGGGAAGGGGTTGAGTAGAAGACCTCCAAGGTCCCTTCCAGGCCTAGGATTCTATGGTTTAACTACAATCTTGGTTCCTCCTTCTTAGGTGTTAAGGCCAAGGATCCATGGCTCTTGCAACCCCAGTGGTCTGTTACGGTTGTCATAGGAGAAGACCTTCGTCTGGAGTGTGAAGTGCCAGATAAGCTTCCACCTGGTCCTGTGAAATGGTTCTTGGGTGAAGGTCCTCAGCGGAAACTCATCTATGCAGATGCCCAGACCGATGAAAAGGATGAAAGAATAACAAGACGTTCTCCAAATTCCAACACGGATTTTACCATCTTCATCCGCAACGTTAGTCTGGAAGACACCGGGACTTACTACTGCGTGAAGAAGAAGCAAGACGGGTCGGGAACTAAGGATTGGCTTAAAGGACATGGGACTCAGGTGGTTGTGAAAGGTCAGTGTGAACAAGCTGGGGGTGAAGTTGGTGTACTTGTCTTCCTGGTCTGAGGACCTGGGTGCTAGTGCTACAGCCGTGCCTGGTTCCAAATTTAGACGTGAAACACCCCAAGCCACATGAGGCTTCCAGGAACAGAATAGCAGTTGGAAGGGCCCTTGGAGATCTTCTAGTCTAGCCCTCTGCTCAAACAGGAGGCCCTCCAGTGATGGAGCACCTCCAATTTCTGGAGGTGTTCCACTGATCGATTGTTCTCACTGTCAGGAAATTTCTCCTTCGTTCCAGACTGGATGTCTCTTTGATATGTTGCCCTCAGGTGCTTTGAAGAATAGGTCCACCTCTTCTTCTCTGTGACAGTCCTTCAAATATTGAAAGGCTGCTATCATGTCACCTGTAGTCTTTCTCTTTGATAGGCAAAACATATCCAGATCTCTCAACTGATCATGGTATGTTTTAATCTTCAGATCCCTCATCATCTTTGTGGCTTTTTCCTGCACTCTTTCAATTTGTTACAGAATGCAGAATAACAGAGTAAAAGAGCTGGAAGGGGCCTTGTGGGTCATCTAGTCCAACCCCCTGCCTGAGCAGAAGACTCTATACCATTTCTGACCAGTGGCTGACCAGTGTCTTCTTGAAAGCCTCCAGGGATGGAGCACCCACAACATCTGAAGGCAAGATGTTCCACTAACTGATTGTTCTGCTAGAAAATTTCTCTTTATTTCTAGGTTGAATCTCTCCTTGATCAGTTTCCATCCATTGTTTCTTGTCTGGCCTTTGGGTTCTTTTGGATAATAGCATGTCCTGCTCCTCTTTGTGACGGTCCCTCAAATATTGGATCACTGCTATTGTGTTTCTCCTGGTCCTTCTCTTCATTAGACTAGTCCAGGGATAGGCAACCTTGGCTCTTTTATGACTCGTGGACTTCAACTCCCAGAATTCCTGAGCTAGCAGTGCTGGTTCAGCAATTCTGGGAGTTGAAGTCCATGAGTCAAAAAAGAGCCAAGGTTGCCTACCCCTGCCCTAGTCATAGCCAATTCTTGCAATCATTCTTCGTATGTTTTAGCCTCCAGGCTTCTAATCTACATTTAGGCAAGAAAAACCAAATACGCAGGTATGGTATAGGGGGTATCTGGCTCAATAGTAGCAACTGTGAGAGGGATCTGGGAGTCCTATTGAACAATCACTTAAATAGGAGCCAGCCGTGTGCTGCAGCTGCCAAAAAAGCCAACACAGTGCTGGGCTGCATTAAGAGAGGGATAGAATCAAGATCACGTGAAGTTTTAATACCACTTTACAAGGCCTTGGTAAGGCCACACTTGGAATACGGCATCCAGTTTTGGTCACAACGATGTAAAAAAGATGTTGAAACACTAGAAAGAGTACAGAGAAGAGCAACAAAGATGATTAGGGGACTGGAGGCTAAAAGATAATAAAGAACGGTTGCTAGAATTGAGTATGTCTAGTTTAATGAAGAGAAGGACGAGGTGAGACATGATAGCCATGTTCCAGTATCTCAGGGGCTGCCCCAAAGAAGAGGGAGTCAAGCTATCCTCCAAAGCGCCTGAAGGCAGGACAAGAAGCAACGGATGGAAACTAAGCAAGGAGAGAAGCAACCTAGAACTAAGGAGAAACTTCCTGACCGTTAGAACAATTAACCGGTGGAACAACCTGCCTCCAGAAGCGGTGAATGCTCCAACACTGGAAGTTTTTAAGAAGAGACTGGACGGCCATTTGTCTGAAATGGTATAGGGTTTCCTGCCTGAGCAGGGGATTGGACTAGATGACCTCCAAGGTCCCTTCAAACTTTATTATTATTATTATTATTATTATTATTATTATTATTATTATTATTATTATTATTATTATTATTATTATTATGGATCATCGCACAGTCAGCCAGAGGTTCAGACTGGATTTGGCATTTTGTCTACCTATCGAGTCCTTACCCAGGACCTGGGATAGGCAGATGTGGATGTTTGATGTATTACAGATATCGTCGCAGGATGGAAGCAGTTCCTAGTAAGGCCGCCTTTTGCAATTGACTAATAGCGAATTTGTCAATGCCAATGGTGTTCAAGTGGTGCTCCAGTTGTTTTGGGATTGCACCCAAGGAGCCTATTACTATTGGTACTATCCTTGCTTGCTTTTGCCACAGTCTTTCTATTTCTATTTGTAGGTCTTTGTATTTTGTTATCTTCTCCAGTTCTTTCTCTTCTATTCTGCTATCTCCAGGCACTGCCACGTCCACTATCCAGACTTTTTTGTCTTTCTTATCGACAATTGTTAAGTCTGGGGTGTTATGTTGCAGGTGCTTGTCTGTTTGAATTCTGAAGTCCCAGAGCAGTTTATTATTATTATTATTATTATTATTATTTGCAGTAATCCGCTTAACAACAGTGGCAAGGAAGGTCGTAAAATGGGGCGAAGTTCACTTAACTAACGTTTCGTTCAGCAACAAAAATTTTGAGCCCAATTGTAAGTCTAGAGATCTACTTCTACTTTGCAGAAAAATATCTTTTTCTGGCATTTTCATTCATTAAAAATTTTCCAGGGCCGTTTTCACGTAGACATAAACTGACATTAGGTCAAACTGAGGTTTTCGTTCTGTGCGTCACATACAACTAGACAAAGAGTTATTTCTGTAACCCGAATTGGAAATCCATCATACACAGACACATCTTCGTGGTTGCCAAGAAGAACAAATCCATCCCTTGGCTAAGCTTCTCTCTCTCTCTCTCTCTCTCTCTCTCTCTCTCTCTCTCTCTCTCTCTCTCTCTCTCTTTCAATTATACAGTATTTATTGAATATGTTCATATCATCCTAACTAACCAAAAGGAAAACATCAGAAAGAAAACAGGAAACAAAACCCCCCAAAATTAAGAAGCGTAAAGATGACCTTGTAGCCTTCTTTGGAACAGATAATTAGATCCTAATTGTCTCTCTTCCCTCTTAAATATTTTACAAGCCCCTTCATCCATTTAGATCTTTCTCAGTCTTCAGATCCCTAAATCACCTGTTCCTTCTTTTGCTCCTTCCCGCAAAAAGTCCATCAAAAGCTTCCAGGCTTTCAAAAACAAGGTTTCTTGTTTTGTTCTCTGACCAGAGAGATCCCTTTTGACAATTTCCACAATCTATGTCTCCACTGCGGGAATTTCAATTGCAGGTAATCCTCGACTCACTACAATTCCTTTAGTGACTGTTCCAAGTTACAATGGCACTGAAAAAAGGGACATGTTTAAATGGCCCGATCCTGGTTAGATAAGTTACCCCTTGTCTTGGGTTTACAACGATGTAGAGAAGAAACCACCGTCGTAAGTCCAAAACTCCACAATGAGACAGCTAATCAGGATAGGATAGGATAGGAAATATGGGATAGGATAGGATAGGATAGGATAGACAGATTGTAGAATAGAATAGAATAGAATAGAATAGAATAGAATAGAATAGAATAGAATAGAATAGAATAGAATAGAATAGAATGGGATGGGATGGGATGGGATGGGGTAGAAAATTGGGATAGGATAGGATAGACAGATTGTAGAATAGAATAGAATAGAATAGAATAGAATAGAATAGAATAGAATAGGGTGGGATGGGATGGGATGGGATGGGATAGAAAATTGGGATAGGATAGGATAGACAGATAATGGAATAGAATAGAATAGAATAGAATAGAATAGAATAGAATAGAATAGAATGGAATGGAATGGAATGGAACGGAATGGAATGGAATGGAATAGAATGTAGAAATTATGGACTAGACTAAACTAGACTAGACTAGACTAGACTAGACTAGACTAGATTAGACTAGAATAGAATAGAATAGAATAACAGAATTGGAAGGGACCTTGGAGGTCTTCTAGTCCAACCCCTGCTCAAGCAGGAAATCCTATAGTCTCAACAAACAGTTAATATCTCAGAACAAAACTGTGATCGAATTTTCCGTTTTCAGCATGATCATTCAAGCTTTCTCTTTAGCTTCTAGAGATTATAACTGGATCATCCCAATTGCTGCTGGGGTGTCTGGTTTCATCCTGGTCATTTTGCTCTTCACGGTGCTTTATTTCTACTTGAAGAAGAAAAGAGGTGAGTGAAATTTAATTTGGCCTATTTTTTGCTGCAGGTAAAGGGATGAATAACTGAGAAGTTAATTTAGGACAGTGGTTTTTTTTTGAAACGTGGCCCCTTTAAGATGGGTGGACTTCAACTCCCAGAATTCCACAGCCAGCACAGCTGGCTGTGGAATTCTGGGAGTTGAAGTCCACCCATCTTAAAGGGACCACGTTTGAAAAAAACGCTGTTTTAGGCAACAGATGTAGCGCTTGAGAGATGACTGTCTTACTCAGGTGTAAAAGGGAGGGGAGAGAAAATGCAGGCCTTCAAGACTAACGCCAGCCCTCCAAGGTAGGCCAGGCCAGAAAATTGCACAGGTTTGACTGGAGTTGTACTTTATGAATATAAGAACCTTGACCTTCAGATACAAATAGAGGGAATGCGGGAAAAGAAATAGACCATCATTGACTGTATAATGATGAACTTTGCACATGTTTGCTCATTCTGTTTTTTTTTTTTTCTGGTTTCCAGGTCTAAGGAGCAGCACTATAAGGTCTGTAGTAGTTTCCCTATCTTTCTGTTAGCTAGTCCTGGGAGCAGAATTTCCATTGCTAAACAAGGAGGCGAAGTGAAACACACTAATTTTATTTTTTTGCCTACGGTTGTTGAGTGAAACACGGCAGCCGTTAAGGGAATTACACGGTCGTTAAATGAATCCAGCTTCCCTCACTGACTTTGCTTGTTGGACGTCGGCTGGGAACGTCGCAAATAGGGATCCCAGGACCCTGGGGTCCTGCAACCGTCATAAATACGTTGCCAGGGCCAAATTCCTGGATTTTGATCACATGTCCATGGGGTTGCTGCCAGGGTCATAAGTGCGAGGAGCGAAAAGTCCCTTTTTTCAATCCTGTTGTAAGTTTGAATGGTCATGAAACAAATGGCTGTAACTCAAGGAATACCAGTATTCTAGGAACAGAGACGTCAACACATTCATGCAAACACACCAGTAAAATGATTCTGGACTTCAGTTTTTCTGCCGAACATGGCAATTTGTGTCCCAAAGATGCTTTTTCAGGAGGCAACTGGACTTTCTTGTTTTTCTTTGAAGACATTTCACTTCTCATCCAAGAAGCTTCTTCAGCTCTGACTGGATGGTGCGGAAGGGAAGGATTTATACTCCTTGCAGACAGCTGGTCATTTGCATTCTTTTGGAGAATGCGATAGATAGATAGATAGATAGATAGATAGATAGATAGATAGATAGATAGATAGATAGATAGATAGATAGATAGATAGATAGATAGATAGATAGATAGCTGGATGGATGGATGGATGGATGGATGGATGGATGGATGGATGGATGGATGGATGGATGGATCTATCTATAGATAGATGATACATACAGATTAGAGATGATAGACAAATAGATAGACAGATAGATGATAGATAGATAAAGATGGATGGATGGGTAGGTAGGTAGGTAGATAGATAGTATAGATGGATAGATATAGATAGATATGATAGATAATAGATAGAATATGTGATTAGACAGACAGACAGAAGATAGATAGATAGATAGATAGATAGATAGATAGATAGATAGATAGATAGATAGATAGATAGATGATAGGTAGGTAGGTAGGTAGGTAGATAGATAGTTAGATAGAATATGTGATTAGATAGACAGATAGATGTAAATAGATAGATAGATAGATAGATAGATAGATAGATAGATAGATAGATGATAGGTAGGTAGGTAGGTAGGTAGGTAGGTAGATAGATAGATAGATAGATAGATAGATAGATAGATAGATAGATAGACAGACAGACAGACAGACAGAAGATGGATGGATGGATGGATGGATGGATGGATCTATCTATAGATAGATGATACATATCGAGATGGTAGACAAATAGACAGATAAATGATGGATAGATAAAGATGGATGGATGGATAGGTAGGTAGGTAGATGGATGGATGGATGGATGGTGCTCTGGGATCATCTGACCCTGTTTAGCCACTCACATTTATGACGGTTGCGCTGTCCCGGGGTCATGTGATCCCTTTTTGCAAACTTCTGACAAGCAAAGTCAATGGGGAAGCCAGATTCACTTAATGACTGCCGTGATTTACTTTGCAACTGTGGCAAGCAAGGTCATAAAAATGGGGCAAAAATCACTTAACAACTGCCTCGCTTAGTGACAGAAATGTGGGGCTCAATTGCAGTCATTAAGTCGGGGACTAAATCTGTATCTACCCTGGCATTCCACCAACAATCCCTGTGCGTGCCGCAGGATTCCTTTTCCTTCTCTCACCCCCAGTCCAGCAGAGGGTTCGACTAGAGGACCTCAAAGGTCCCTTTCAACCCTATTAGTCTACGAACCCAGATCTCTTTCTCTGGCTGTTTTTATTTGGGTTTTCAAACCCCGCTGGAGGTTTCAGGATTTGATTGCCACCACGAAGCTTGGAGCTGGACGGAGTGGCGTCCAGCTGGCCACTTTCTCCGTCTCACACTTTTTCCTTCCCTCCATCAAGAAGAAGGCATGGCAGGTGGGGGATGGGAGGGATGGGGAGGGCAGAGAATTAAGCTTCAGCCCCTCCAGGGCTGCTCTGCCCATCGTGTTGAGAAAGCAGCCCTGACAGATGGACTCCAGATCTATAATCTGGTTTTAATTAGGGGGGGGAGGGAGGGAGGGGCCAGGGATTAAAAGCTGTGAGTGAGCCTGTTGAGTCTGGAAACCTGGCTAATTTGACTCCACATTATCTGTATTTTTATCTGTTTGTCTGTCTGTCTGTCTGTCCACCCACCTATTATCTATTATCTATCTATCTATCATCCATCCACCCACCCACCCATTCACCCACCCAAGTATCTCTCTCTCTCTCTCTCATTATCTATCTATCATTATCTGTCATCTATCTATCTATCTATCTATCTATCTATCTATCTATCTATCTATCTATCTATCTATCTATCATTATCTGTCATCTATCTATTTATCTATCTATCTATCATCTATCTATCTCTATCTATCTATCTATCTATCTATCTATCTATCTATCTATCTATCTATCTATCTATCTATCTCCATCCACCCACCTATCTATCTATCTATCTATCTATCTATCTATCTATCTATCTATCTATCTATCTATCTATCTATCATTATCTGTCATCTATCTATTTATCTATCTATCTATCATCTATCTATCTCTATCTATCTATCTATCTATCTATCTATCTATCTATCTATCTCCATCCACCCACCTATCTATCTATCTATCTATCTATCTATCTATCTATCTATCTATCTATCTATCTATCTATCTATCCTTCCACCCTTCCTTCCCTTTCTCTCTTTCTTTCCCTTTCAATCTCCCTTTCTTTTCCTTCCCTTCCCTCCCGCTCCCCCACTCTCCTCCCCTCCCCTTCCCTATTCCCCTCTCCTCTTCCCTGTCCCCCTCCCCCTATTCTCCTCCTTCTCTTCCTCCTTCTCCTTCCCCCTCCCCCTATCCCTTTCCCCTCCCCTCTCCTCCTCCCTCCTCCCTTCTCCCTCTCCCTCCCCTGCCTCTCCCTCTCCCCTTCCCCATCTCTCTCTCCCTTTCCTTTCTTCCCTTCCCCCTCTTCCTTCCCCCTGTCTCCCCTCCCCTCCCCTGCCTCTCCCTTCCTCCCCCCCTCCTTTCTCCCTCTCCGTCTCCTTCCTTCCTTCTTTCCATCCATCCTCCCATCCTCCTTCCCTCCCTCTCCCCCTCTTTCCCCCCTTTTTCTTGCATCCAGGGATTGCAACAAGTTTTGCTTCCTTCCTTCCAAGCTCCCTCTAACCCCCCTAAGGACGCCGCCAGGTAAACCGCCTGGAGACCCAAAAGTCTGTGCCACTTCCACAGAGCTGCACAGCCCAGAATAACAAGGAACAATATTCCACTTTTCTCTCTAGTCTAGGCAGAGACGAAATAGGCACATTTAAGTGTATCACAGGCTTAAAGAGGCAAAAGCTGTCATCCACCTCGCTTATTATATATATATATATATTTTAAAAAATCCCAACCTTCCCCAGAGAGATAGGAGGAAAGAAACTGCAACGCAAATGCCAGAGATACCTTTTGCCTTTTTGCTCTCGAAACACAGGTGCGTAATTAAAATCCTTCGCCTGTCACAGTTCAGAAAGCACGTGTCTAGTCCTCATGAAGGTGCCTGAAGCATCGGCAAGTGTTCTCAAAAGACTCCTGAATTCAAGCGACGCAATTCAACTTATTTCCCTCTTACAACGTTAAGCCAATCCAAGAAATAGAATAAGAAACACCCCCCCCCCTTTTTTTTTTTATTCTTACTGTTTTCTCTCCTGCCATTATTGTGTGAAAACATGGATTTCTGGTTCATCCACGAGGTCACAGAGCCGTCTCTGAAATATTCAACCGTTTGTTTCTGTTGTTCTTAACATTTTTGATCAATAAATAGGGTTTGATACAAAGGAGTCGGGAGAGGCAGCTCAGTTGCCAAGACAGGCCAATAATTGAGGGAACGTGGCTTGAATTTTATACATGGTTTTTATGCTTTAATATTTTATTTGTAAACACCCCAGAATCCCACTGTGAGGGAGATCGGTTATTCCTAAATATGAAAATAAAAAATAAATAAAATAAAATAATGAAAGATGAAAAATGCAAAGACTAAGGCTTAAAATAGACTAAGGCTTGCAACCAAAGTCAAAAATAACAACAACAAAAAAACTTCCTTTTTTTAAGGAAATGATTGGTCCATTAGTGGGTGAAAGTGGCAAGAAGGTGACAAGAAACAGGGAGAAAGCAGAACTATTTAACTCGTTTTTTGCATCCGTCTTTACTCAAAGGGAAAAAAAACAGACCAACCTATCAAAAATAGTGCCATAAAAAATAAAATAGAAACACAAGTTAAGATAGGCAAGAAAATTGTAAGCGAGCACCTGTCCAGCCTAGATGAGTTCAAATCACCAGGACCAGATGGATTACACCCCAAGGTTCTCCAGGAACTGGCAGATGTGTTCTCAGAACCACTGAATTATATTTTTCAAAGATCCTGGAGCACTGGGGAACTACCAGAGGACTGGAAAAGAGCTGATGTAGTTCCCATCTTCAAAAAAGGGGGAAAAAATGGATCCAGGAAACTACAGACCTATCAGCCTGACCTCAATACCTGGGAAGATCCTGGAAAAAATAATCAAGCAACGAATCAGCGAACACCTACAGGCAAACAAATTCATTACTAAAAGCCAACACGGGTTTGTCAAAAATAGATCATGCCAAACAAATCTTATTGCCATCTTTGACCAAGTGACAAAATTAGTGGACCAGAGGAATGCTGTGGATATAATTTACTTGGACTTCAGTAAAGCATTTGCTAAAGTAGACCACAACCTACTACTTGATAAGATAGAAAAGTGTGGGCTAGACAGCATCACCACCAGATGGATTCGTACAGTGGTGGGATTCAGCCAGTTCACACCACTTTGGCAGAACTGGTAGCTAATTTTTTTTGTTGCCCAGGCCCAGAATGGACTTCCAGAAGCAACCTAGAACTAAGGAGAAATTTCCTGACAGTGAGAACAATTAACCAGTGGAACAACCTGCCTCCAGAAGCGGTGAATGCTCCAACACTGGAAGTTTTTAAGAAGAGACTGGACAGCCATTTGTCTGAAATGGTATAAGGTTTCCTGCCTGAGCAGGGGGTTGGACTAGATGACCTCCAAGGTCCCTTCCAACTTTATTATTATTATTGTTGTTGTTATTATTATTGTTGTTGTTGTTATCACTGTTGTTAGTTGTTGTTGTTGTTATTATATAAAAAATAAAATAAAATAATAAAATAAAATATAAAATAAAATAATAAAATAATAATAAAATAAAATAAAATAAAATAAAAAATAATAAAATAAAATAAAATAAAAATAAAAAATAGCCACGGGGTCTCCTAATCCCTCTCTGCATTTTCTCTCCAGGTCTGACACCTCTTTACCACAAAAACAACCACCTTCTAAGCAGGTAAGAGTGACAAGGTTACTTTTAAAACTACCGCTAGTCGTTGACTTAACACCGATTCATTTAGTGACCATTCAAAGTCACCATGGCAGTGAAAAAAGTGGCTTATGACCGTTTTTCACACTTATGCCCGCTGCAACCTCCCTATGGGCATGTGATCAGAATTCAGCCACTTGGCAACTGACTCATATTTATGACGGTCGCACTGTCCTGGAGTCACGTGATCCCCCTTTTGCGATCTGTTGACAAGCAAACTCAATGGGTAAGCCAGATTCACTTAACAACTATATTACCAATTTAACAAATGCCGTGATTCACTTCACAACAGTGGCAAGGAAGAGTCATAAAATGGGGCAAAACTCACTTAATCACTGTCTCGCTTAGTGACAGAAACGTGGGGCTCAATTGTGGTCGTAAGTCGAGGACTTCTCTGAAATAGGAATCGTGGAGAATGTCCTTTTAGGCTGACCCCATTTCAGTTTCAAATAATTTTGCAGCTGTTTGTGGTAAGTTCGTAAGATACTTAAACTAGTTTTGGTGAATCTCAGAGCTATTTAACCCAATCCTGACCATTTCCGGATATAGGGACTTCAACTCCCAGAATGCCACAGCCAGCAGAGCCGTTGCTGAGCATTGTGGGAGTTGAAGTCTACTCACCTTCAATTTGTCAAGGTTGGAAAGAAAACCATCCTGTCCTAGGAAATATATTTTTCACCTTGGATTAAGCTTAGTCAGTCTTTACATTGGTTAATATATATTTTTTTATCCTGTCGTTACTACTTTAAAAGCAACTCAAGGAGGTGAACACATCTAATAGTCCTTCCTCCTTCTATTTTTCCCATAACAACAAACCTTTGAGGTGGGTCAGGCTGAAAGAGACTACCCAAAGTCACCCAGCTGGCTATCATGCCTAAGGCACAACTAGAACTCTCAGTCTCCCAGTGATTGGCCCAAAGTCACTCAGCCAGCTTTCATGCCTAAGGCAGGACTAGAACTCATAGTCTCCCAGTGATTGGTCCAAAGACCCCCCCCCAGCCAGCTTTCATGCTTAAGGCAGGACTAGAACTCACAGTCTCCTGGTGATTGGCCCAAAGTCACGTATCTGGCTTTCATGCCTAAGGCAGGACTAGAACTCACAGTCTCCTGGTGATTGGTCCAAAGACACCCCCCCCCAGCCAGCTTTCATGCTTAAGGCGGGACTAGAACTCTCCATCTCCTGGCGATCGGCCCAAAGTCACCCAGCTGGCTTTCATGCCTAAGGCAGGACTAGAACTCACAGTCTCCTGGCGATTGGCCCAAAGTCACCCAGCCAGCTTTCATGCCTAAGGCAGGACTAGAACTCACAGTCTCCTGGTGATTGGCCCTAAGTCACCCAGCCAGCTTTCATGCCTAAGGCAGGACTAGAACTCACAGTCTCCTGGCGATGGGCCCAAAGTCACCCAGCCAGCTTTCATGCCTAAGGCAGGACTAGAACTCACAGTCTCCTGGCGATTGGCCCAAAGTCACCCAGCCAGCTTTCATGCCTAAGGCAGGACTAGAACTCACAGTCTCCTGGTGATTGGCCCAAAGTCACCCAGCCGGCTTTCATGCCTAAGGCAGGACTAGAATTCACCGTCTCCTGGTGATTGGCCCAAAGTCACCTAGCCACCTCTCATGTATAAGGCAGAACTAGAACTCACAGTCTCCCAGTGATTGGTCCAAAGACCCCCAGCCGGCTTTCATGCCTAAGGTAGGACTAGAACTCACCATCTCCTGGTTTCTAGACTAGCACCTTAAATACTAGACCAAAATAGCTCTGCCAACAATTAGCATTTACCTTGCTTAATATGGTTTGAGGTATATGTGGAAGGCGCCTTGTTAGTTTACCATTTGCTATATTCCGAGTACGCAGAAAATGCATTAATTTTGCACCCATTGGACCCCTTGCGGAGTGCAGCCATTGGAGTTAAAATCCCGACCAAACAGCTCACTCTTGCTTTTTCTTCCAGACTTCTGGGGATAAAGAGATTGTCTACGCTGACCTGAAGGACCCAAGAGGATCGCGGATTCCGAGGAAAATCGATCTGGAACGGCACTCGGAATATGCCACCATTAAGGGACCACCAACTGGGGCTGCAGACAACGGGGCTTTTCACAGCCTGAGTCTTTGAACATCAGACACGAAGCAGAAATGGAGACGAGGTCTCGGCTGTTTCACACACAGAGCCGCAAACATCGTTCGACATTTTGCATTTCTGAACCAAACGCAAACAGAACTTCGGAGTTTCGCTTGATTCTGGACACTGATGCTTGCCTGCCGTAAAGCAGGCACATCAAAACGGCCTTAGAAAAATACTGTATGCCTATAAAATACAAAAAGATGCAAAATATAATGGACTAAAACATACGAAGAACGTTTGCAGGAATAGGGCATGTCGGATTTAATGGAAAGAAGGTCCAGGAGTGACATGATAGCAGTCTTCCAATATTTGAGGGGCTGCCACAAAGAAGAAGGGGGGGGGGTGTCAACTTATTTTCCAAAGCACCTGAAGATAGGATAACAAGCGACGGATGGAAAATAATGAAAGAAAGAACCAACTTGGAATTAAGAAAAAAATTCCTGACAGCTAGAACAATTAACCAGTGGAACAAACTGCCTCCAGAAGCGGTGAATGTTCCAACACTGGAAGTTTTTTAAGAAGAGACTGGACAGCCGTTGGTCTGAAATGGTACAGGGTTTCCTGCCTGAGCAGAGGGTTGGACTAGATGATCTCCAAGGTCCTTTCCAACTCAGTTGTTCTGTTATCTGTTAAAGGGCACTGTTATAGTTGGCATAAATTTGGGGGTGGGTGGGAATTGAAAAAGGGTGCAATATATTTATTGGCAGAAATATATACCAAAGCATAGCCCAATCTTAACAGGGCTATATATTTCCACTTCCCAGAAAGTCCTCGACTTACGACAGTTGGGGCCAGACTCCCTGTTGCTAAGCAAGGCGGCTATAGAGTTAAGAGTTGCCTTTGGCGAGATGGGTGGCGTAGAGGTTTGACAAATAAACGAACAAAGAAACAAATAAGTCATACCCAATTTTCCTACCTTTCAGCCAGGGAGATCACTGCAGTTGTTAAGTGAATCACATGGTCATTAAGCAAATCCTTCTTCCCCCCCCCCAGTGACTTTGCTCGTGGGAAGCCAGCTGAGAAGGTCTGAAGTGGTGATCCCGTGATTCCAGGACGCTGCCACCCGTCACAAAATACAACTTGCTTGCCGAGTCCTTGAACTTGGATCACATAATAGTGGGGAAGGCGGCAAGGGTCGTAAGTACGAGGAGTGGTCGTAACTCCCTTTCGTGCCGTCGAAAGCTTTGAATGGTCACTAAATGAACGGTCGTAAGTGGAGGATGACGAGTAGGTGGATACGTTGCTGAAGTCACTGGACAGACTTGGCGACGCTTTGAAAAGATGCTCAGAATTTAATAAACAAAAGTTTATCTCTGCCCGCTTGCGAAGCAGAGATAAACAGAAATTGCTCGTCATTTCTTGACGAAAAAGCTCCTGCTCATTATAAAAAGCCGTGAACTCCAGGAAAGTTTCCTTCCATCACTTCTTCTTTTCATGTTTTCCTGCTACACGGCTGCTTTCCATTTTCCGTTGAATGGGAAAATCTCAAAAGACGAGAGAAGGAAAGGATGTGGTAAGGTGTGAATGCTGTTTTTTTTCCTCTCTTTTGCCCGGAGGCTGTTTTTTACCACTCAGATATTACATGGCAAGCGAGCCACTTATGGAACAGCCCTGCTGGATGGATTATGTTTAGATACTAAAAGCAAGCATCTGCAGTAAATACACAGAGAGATTGACCAGCTGAGTAACGCAGTCCTAGGCTGCATTAACTGAGGGACAGAGTCAAGATCAAGGAAAGAAGCAACCTAGAATTAAGGAGAAACTTCCTGACAGTGAGGACAATTAACCAGTGGAACAGAAGTTGCCTCCAGAAATCGTGGGCGCTCCATCATTGGAGGTTTTAAAGAAGAGACTAGACAGTCACTTGTCTGAGATGGTATAGGTTCTCCTGCTTGAGTGGGGGGCTGGACTAGAAGACCTCCAAGGTGCTTTCCAGCTTCTATTCTATTCTATTCTATTCTATTCTATTCTATTCTATTCTATTCTATTCCATTCCACTCCACTGAACTCCACTCCACTCCACTCCACTCCACTCCACTCCACTTCCATTCCATTCCATTCCATTCCATTCTATTCTATTCTATTCTATTCTATTCTATTCTATTCTATTCCATTCCATTCCATTCCACTCCACTCCACTCCACTCTATTCTATTCTATTCTATTCTATTCTATTCTATTCTATTCTATTCTATTCTATTCTATTCTATTCTATTAAGATCACATGGAATGTTAATACCACTTTACAATGCCTTGGTAAGGCCACACTTGAAATATTGCATCCAGCTTTGGTCACCACGATGTAAAAAAGATGTTGAGACTCTAGAAAGAGCGCAGAGAAGAGCAACAAAGATAATCAGATGACTGGAGGCTAAAACATAGGAGGAAAGGTCGCTGGAATTGGGGATGTCTAGTCTAATGAAGAGAAGGATGAGGGGGGACATAATAGCAGCCTTCCAATGTCTCAGGGACTGCCCCAAAGAAAAGGGAGTCAAGCTATTTTCCAAAGCACCTGAAGGCAGAACAAGAAGCAACAGATAAAAACTCATCAAGGAGAGAAGCAACCTGGAACTAAGGAGAAATTTCCTGACAGTGAGAACAATTAACTGGTGGAACAACCTGCCTCCAGAAGTTGTGGGTGCTCCATGACTGGAGGTTTTCAAGAAGACATTGGTCAACCATTTGCCTGAAATGTTACAGGGTCTCCTGCTTGAGCAGGGGGTTGGACTAGAAGACCTCCATGGTCCCTTCCAGCTCTGATAATCCGTTAGTTGCCAGTCTTGCTGGTTGCTTGTAAAATATGCTCTTCCTGTATTTGGTCAGAGAAGAAAGGTTAGAGGTGATGTCCATTAGGGTGCTGGGCTACAGATGCAGCCCTCACGGACCCCAGATCTTGCATGAAGCCACAATTATCGACTGCTGAGGCTTCATCACACACCTTGGATGCTAGATGTAACCTGGGGCCAGGCTACAGATAGTCCTCGGCTTACAACAGTTCATTTAGTGACCGTTCGAAGTTATCACATCACTGAAAAAAAAAAGTGACTTATGATCGTTTTCATGCTTATGACCGTTGCAGCCTCCCCATGGTCAGGTGATTAAAATTTGGACGCTTGGCTACTGACTCGTATTTATGACGGTCGCAGTGTCCCCGGGTCATGTGATCCCCTTTTGCAACCTTCTGACAAGCAAAAGCAATGGGGGAGCCAGATTCATTTAACAATTGTGTTACTAAGTTAACAACGGCTGTGATTGACTTAACCACTGTGGCAAGAAAGGTCATAAAACGGGGCAAAACTCAACAAATGTCTCATTGAGCAACAGAAATTTTGGGCTCTATTATGGTCGTAAGCCGAGGACTACCTGTATCTCCTGTATTACATCCAGCCAACCCACCAGGGTCAGAAGACAGGGTCCCATGGATTAGGGATGTCCATCTGAGGTGCTGCAACAGTTGGGAGGACTTTTCATAATTCACTTTTTCAGTGCCATTGTATCAAGGTAATGATTTAGAAGCTAACCGGCTGATGTAATGTAAGATGTCTGATGTAATGTCGGGAATGACTCAGCAGGGTCTGTCCCTTTAAGAGCCAACAGGGTCTGTGTCTCTTTAAGAGCCTTTGTATACAAGGGAAGGCTCTGCTGCTGTGTTCTCTCTCTTCCATTTTCCTGCTGTAACCAGTGGTGGGATTTAAATATGTGAGCAACCGGTTCTCTGTGTGGATGCCACTTCCAGAAGTCCGTTCTGTGCCTGGTCAACTAAAAAAATAGCTCCCAGTTCTGCCGAACTGGTGCGAACTGGCTGAATCCCACCACTGGATGGATAGATAGATAGATAGATAGATAGATAGATAGATAGATAGATAGATAGATAGATAGATAGATATGATCAGTGGTGGGATTCAAATGTGTGAAGAACCGGTTCTCTGGGTGGATGCCACTTCCGGAAGTCCGTTCTGTGCCTGGTCAACAAAAAAATTAGCTACCGGTTCTGCCGAACTGGTGTGAACTGGCTGAATCCCACCACTGGATAGATAGATAGATAGATAGATAGATAGATAGATAGATAGATAGATAGATAGATAGATAGATAGATAGATATGATCAATGGTGGGATTCAAATATGTGAAGAACCGGTTCTCTGGGTGGATGCCGCTTCCGGAAGTCCATTCTGTGCCTGGTCAACAAAAAAATTAGCTACCGGTTCTGCTGAACTGGCTGAATCCCACCACTGCCTGTAACTCTGGCGAGTTGGATCCTGCTGTAGTAGCACGTGGATGTACACTGTTCCTGGTGTATGATATTGTAGATAGTGTCATATAAACCACCATTTAATATAGACCACTGTTTACTGTGTTTTACTCCTAGGGTTAGTGCAATAAGTCTGTGCATGCTCTGACACATTAACAATAACAACAACAACAATAATAATAAAGTTGGAAGGGACCTTGGAGGTCTTCTAGTCCAACCCCCTGCTCAGGCAGGAAATCCTATACCATTTTGTATAAATGTAACTTCAAAGGGTGGCTAAACAAATGATTGTAAGTTGAAGACTATCTGACTACCTGTAATTTTTTTAAAAAATACATAGTAAAAAGAAGCATTATCTGCCTTGGCTTTTTTTCTCTCCCCCCTCCCCCTGCAGCTACTATATTTTGCTTTAATTTTTTTGCAATGCTTTTTGAGTCATTTTCAGTTGTGTGTGTGTGCGTGTTTTTAAATCTCCTTCTGTTTGTTTCAAAAGCCATATTCTAAATCAGTGGTTCTCAACCTGTGGGTCGGGACCCCATTTGGGGTCGAACGACCATTTCACGGGGGTCGCCAAACAACGCAGTCCGCCATTTTTTCCCCCTTTTTCCTTAGCTGTGCTACTCCCTTTTATTCTATTGGCTTTTGAAAGCCAATAGAATAGACTCTCTTGAATAGAGTCTAATTCTATTGGCTTTCAAAAGCCAATAGGAATTGTCCAGGCTGTCTCTGCCCTGCTGAGCCCGCCAAAAGTCCCAGTCTGCAAACAGTGCTGCACCAGTTGAGTAGTCCTCGACTTACGACCGGTTGAGTAGTCCTCGACTTACGACCGGTTGGGGGGTCACGGCATTAAAAAGGTTGAGAACCACTGTTCTAAATCTCTTAGCTTTCCTTGCTGTCTTGCGGGCTGTAGGTAAAATAACCGTTCCTGCCTGAATTTTGGTTAGACCTCTTTTATTGAATCTAGGAATATCTATGAATATAATTGACGACATGGTCCATTTCTCCCTTGGCGCCCGGTCTGCAGTTTTATCTCCCAATCAAATTGCTGAAAATGTTTCTTTGCCCCATGATTGGATCCGATTGATTCTTCCGCGGTCGCCGTACATCTCAATAAATTGTGATGCGTTTCATTTCTACACCGTCATGAGAAAGGCTTCCCACCTCTTCTGCAGAAAGAAGCTGGACTTTTCAAGACCTCAGGTGTTTGAAAATACAAAAGTCAAAGGGGGTCTTAGACATTTGAACCGTACTGAGGAAATTTAAAATATTTCCTCGGATCTCAGTCTGAGTCCCAAAAAGATGACCCGGTGAAGTCCATCATGAATGGGCAGGGAGGAACATAATGCATCTCAATATTTGGCAGAAACATGTTGGGGATGTGTAGTAGCAATGAAAAAGAACATTGTTATTTCAAGGAGTTTAGTGACATGTTTTGATTTTTCCTTACATTAAGAAAAATCTAGAAATTTAGAGCTCGTTCTGAGCAACATGCTTATTTTTCGCTCCTTGAATAAAAGATGGGGAAAATCTTCTCGTAGCTGCAAAGCGTTTCTTATTGTAAAAGTCTCTGACTTTTCATTTGGGCAAGAAAAACCAAATGTACAGGTATAGCAGTGGTTCTCAACCTGTGGGTCGGGACCCCATTTGGGGTCAAATGACCATTTCACGGGGGTCGCCAAACCATGCTGTCTGCCATTTTTTTCCCTTTTCCCTAGCTGTCCTACTCCCTCTTATTGGTGGCCACACCCACTTGGGGGTCACCACAACATGGGGAACTGTATTATGGGGTCACGGCATTAGAAAGGTTAAGAATCATTGAGGTATAGTATAGTAGTAACTGTGAGAGGGATCTGGGAGTCCTAGTGGACGATCCCTTAAATATGAGTCAGCCGTGTGCTGCAGCTGCCAAAAAAGCGAATACAGTGCTAGGCTGCATTAACAGAGGGATAGAATCAAAATCACATGAAGGGTTAATACCACTTTACAATGCCTTGGTAACGCCCCGCTTGGAATACTGCATCCAGTTTTGGTCACCACGATGCAAAAAAGATGTTGAGACTCTAGAAAGAGTGCAGAGAAGAGCAACAAAGATGATCAGGGGACTGGAGGCTAAAACATATAAGGAACGGTTGTGTCGGGCCGTACTGAAACCAACTACAGAACTTACCTGCAGCAGCAAGGCATCCGCCATCCCGTACAGCGTCCGGTCGGCCCGACATCAATCCGATGGCCGTGCATGCGCCGGAGTCGCTTGGTTTAGCCGACAGCCAGCTGGCCGGTGCGCATGAGCAGAAGCCGGCCCGACAATCAATTGCGATGGCCAGAGCCGCGCATGCGTGGAAGACACTACAAGCAACCCAACGCATGCGCGGTTGATAGAAACCGCGGGCCATGCAGGGACATTATTAAGAAGCCGAAAGAAGACAGCCGAAGCTTCGGGAAGTGGCCGAAGCAACGGGAAGCGGCCGGGCCGTCGGGAACTGTTCGGTCAGCATGATATAGCAAATATTAGGGTGTTGGGCCGTCCGGAGGTGGGTG